CAAGGAATTAATATTCTTGGAAAAGTCGTATGCAACAAAGCACAAGTCTGAAGAAAGCGGCAAGCACCCCCCCTTCTCTCCTTTTGGATTATACTCTTTTAGATTGCCTAAACTGCCATTTATTCTTGAAATGAAAAACCATAAACCGTATATTGTGATCATATTTCCTCCAAAGACACCCAATATGTTGCACGAGAACCACAATGTCAATAACGCGCGGCAAAAATACAGGGTGTCCCAAAAAAAAGTACCCCCTCTAGTGGGGCGCAGTCGTGTCCAATTTTCATCGTTTAGGTATCTATCGACAGCTCTCGAAAAGACGAGAAAACAAGGAGGGTTCATTTTCTTTATAATTTATTTTTATTATTTACGCCCAAAAATCCTGAAAACCGCTGATTTATGCGAGATCTGCATGCTAATTGGGAAATTCCTGTTGAAAAATTACCCGCTTTTTTAGAAAAACGTTAAATCTCGATGGGATAGGCTTAAATTTAAAAAACAAAGAACGCTTGTTTTCTCGCCTTTTCGAGAGCTTTCGAATGGTGTAAAAGTCTGCCCGATCCGAGCTTCCTCCGCGCCGCTAGAGGGGGGGGTACTTTTTTTGGGACACCCTGTAGGAGCCAGAACAATCAGATAAATACAAACAAGCATCATAAAAGTTGCAGTCTCCCCAAATAGTCGAAGTGGAAATTCGGTACCTCAGACAGAACACGTCTTTCGCATTTTTCACCGATTCCGAATCTGTTTTCAAAAACATATTAAAAACTTACAAGCGTTTTTTATTAGCCAAAATTCCACAAATTTTTTACTTTAAAGCGTGCTAAAAATTCTGTGAGTACTTTTGGACGGACAGTCAGCCGTTTGCCGGGGTAAAAACGTGCTCTTTCGAACGGGTCACGAATCCTTACTGTAAAGTGTTTTTACTCAGGCTGGCGTTTTAGGATGGGACTAAGCCTATCTTGTTCAGAATTTTTTGCTGATTCCGAATCCGTTTTCCAAATTTGCTGCGGACTTCGCGTTGAAAAGTCATTTTTGGTCTAAATTAAGCTTAAAAACGGCATAAATTCGGATGCTGGCCCACTATTCCATGTCTGGGTCCTGGTATTGTTGTGCCACTTATCTACCCTTCCGAAGCCCCCTTCGCGGTTGGCACCATGGTGCATTGGTAAGCTGTTCGCTTGCCAGGCACAGGGCGGCGGTTTGATCCCCGCCCTGCACAATTTCTTTTGCTTTTTGCACAAAAACACATGATTTTTTGCATAAAATCGTGCTTTGACCTCTAAAACCACTACCGAGCCAGTTTGAACGTCGGAGGTGACGACAACTTACAAAATAACGCAAAAAATCCAGATTTAGTCAATTTTTTTAGCCTAAATGTCGAATAACTTTTTAAATAAAGGTCGGCAGCAAATTTGGAAACCAGATTCTGAATCAGCGAAAAATTCTGCACAAGATAGGCTTGGTCCCATTCTAAAACGCCAGCCTGAGTAAAAACACTTTACAGTTAGATGAAAATTCACAAAAATGTTTTTTTTTGGCGCACCTGCCCTAGCTGGTTCGAACTTCCACAAAGCATTCCACAAGCATTCCACGAATTGAATGGTCAGTTTTCTACAAGCCGAATAGAGAAGAAAGAAACACGAAAGCCTCTTAAGTGTCGAGCGGATCGGAATCAATATGTGACACATGATTCCGCCACGGCGTTTCAGAGCGCGCACGGGAGGGGTGGTCGAGGCGTGGTGTAGTGGTCTAAGGCGGCGGTCCAGCCCCGAGACAGGGGGTGCGGGTTCGATCCCCGAGGCCGCAAACCTCTGCGTTTTCTTTTTGCTTTTTGCTCCAAATGTTCATAAAGGAATTCCGTAACCCTATGAAACCCAAAAAAGCTGGCCAGCACCTTCACTCCAGGCGGAATAGGCCAGTAAAGATCGTAAGCTTATCGCACCCTTTTACAGGACCCGTTCGCTAAATTTCGGCGCTGGGCTATTCTAAAACTAGGTGCAAAAGATAGAACAAGTTCTGCTCTTCGTTCCTAGTCTGCTAGTAGATTCGAAAACCGTCATAAACAAAAGTTATAGCTAATTGAAAACTTGCGAAAACATTGAATTGGAATCGTCGCGTAAAATTTTAAAACCCCAAGTTGACTCAATATTGGGTAGTTCATGACAGATACTCTTCCAGAAAATGTAGTTGAGGCGTTTGAGCCAGTATTTAGCTGGATTTGAGCTCAAACGATAACTTGCACCTCATTTTTCAAATTTCAAACCATCAGAAGTCGCGTTTTCAACGCTCGATTTTGACAAAACCACTATTTAAAAGATAGAGCAAAGTCTCATCTATTTTTTGAGCGGTCGCTCAGATTAAGAAACTGCCCGTTTAAAAAAGTTACAGAGGCTTGAAAGCGCAGAAGGCGTGCCCCCCTTTGTTTTAAGAACCAATTACGCGTCGATTGGAGCGTGCCGTAGCCTAGCCCCGTCTTCCCCTCTCATGCGCGTTTTTCTTAAAGGATGAATCGCCGTGCCGCGGTGTTCGTGAGTAGGCTGGCGGATAGTGCGCCAGACGGCGGGGCGCAGACACACAGGGGAGGGGTGGGGCGCGGAATAGGCGGCGAAAGAGTGAGACTAGAATATAGGGCACGGGGGAAGAGAACAGGGGGGTGGGGCCAGAGCGCAGATTCTCCCTTCCCCTGTATGCCTGCCATCCTGTCCCGGTCAAACGGACACAACTGGTAATGGGCGGAATGCTGTAGTGAAAGAGCACAGCAATTTATTCATTAGCTTTCTAGGAATTCGCGAACTTCTTGGTCAGGGTGTTTGTCAATCATGTCAAGGTGCTCCGGGACGGCAATATGGACAGTCATGTCGTCGATTTTGACGAACAGTCTATCGCCATCGGGACGAGTGAGACGATAGTGGATACAGTCGTCTTCATCTGACTCGTGTTTTGGCCAGTGATCGAGGAATTTCGGGGGTTCAATTTCTGTCATCAGCTCCAGACTGATCAAACGAATTTCGCGTTCACCTCTCATCCATTCTGCAATTACAACCTGCCCGTAATCCTCAAAGTTAGACACCCAGTCTTCCGTTTCCTCCAGTTGAATGGCCGGCATTTTGAGTGGGGTACACTCTGATAGCGGCATATTCAGCCTTTCAATATGCAGAATACTTGTCGATTCGTTCAGCCACTCGATCCATTCGGAATCGAGTCGGATATCTTCGGAAAAAGAAACCAAAGTATATTTCGTGGCTGGCTTGTGACGCTTCAAAATGGAAATCCAATCCACGACATCAAAGTGCAGCTCCAACATCTTGGCCCGAACATCAACATCAGCAGGTAGAACATCCTGAAGTTCCAAACAGGTGACGGTGGAATTGTGGAAAAGCAGCTTGAACGTCTCAGGCCCTGGGTACCGATGATTCGCGCCAAAATCACCAGCTTCTATGTCGTCATCATCATAGATTTTTGTAAAGTAGCGGCATCCCGCACTATTGCAGATTTCGACATGCCAATACTTGTCCCGACACTCCTTTGCCATCTCCATTGTCGCTTTGCTTGCAAGTGCCGTCTTGAAGAAGCTATCAATATCCATATGACGCATGATGTTGTGCTGAACGACGATCGGAAGCATGTCGAAATCCATGTTTATCTGAAATTTAGCTGAAATTATTTTACAGGGGTTGATCAAGATTGCCTATCTGGAAAAACAAAATCACGAATATCCAGAATTCAGAGAGTCTGAAAATTCGAGCTTGTGTTAGAGGGAACGAGAGAAAGAGTGAGAGAGATTGCGTGAGAGAGAGGGTAAGCGAGCGAGAGAGAGTGTCAGAGAGAGGTAGAGAGAGAGAAATACAGAGAGACCAAGAAAGCGAGAGAGAGAGAGAGTCAGCGAGAGAGTGTGTGAGAGAGATAGAGAGCTAGAGAGAGTGAGCGAGAGGAGGAAGAAACCATTATTTAGAGGTGAAAATTCGCATTAAATACAGGATTAACCGGTAAATTGCCAAAATCTCAAAATATTATGCTGCCGGGCGAAAAGTGCGGGGTTATTTTGGGGTGTGCGAAGGGCGCGCTAACTAGTAAGATCTTTCACAATGATGCTGCGATTTATCTGCTTGCCCTAAGGGTATCTTGGGGGATCCAGATGGCGTTCTGCGACATCTGGTATGTTCCTTTTGATGGCTGTGCTAACAAGGGAAGTGCACCAATTTAATGTAAGCTTTCGCTTTAAAAACACTGGGTCATATAACGTCAGCGACGGGGATTCCGAATATCGAATTGGAATTTGCTAAATGCAACGGAGGGATAAGTGATGAACTGTTAATGTTTTAAATATTTCACGCGCACCCTTATGAGAGCCTTCTGGGGATCGGAGTCCGCCTATCGAGTGGAATAGTGGCTAACTGTAATCCTCTTATGGTCGAAGTGGCAATTCGGCAGCCGAAATAGCACATCCTATGAAGAATTTTTCGCGGATACCGAAGCCGTTTTCAAAAGTTGCGGAAGCTGTCAAATTAAAAAGAGTTTCTTATCTCTTTTTTGTAGACTACAGAGTACAATAATAGTCAGAGGTTCAACTTTTCACGCCTTGTCACGCTCAAATTACAGCTTCGGAGACCTGCATAACGTGCGATTTTTTCGAAATTCTCCACTGTTTACCGTTTCTCGTAATCTTGCACTTACTTCGACTGTCATTTAGTAACTTCCCAACGAGAAATTGGCAGGAGATGGAAGTAGAAAACGTTGCGCTGAAACAGCAATTACAGCCAAAATAATGATTCGTTTGTTGAGACTGCTGCCAATGGGTGCGTTTTCTGCAAAAAAGTTCTTGCCAAGTGCTTCTGTTTTCCACCATCATCGGGGCCCCATCAAAGTGGGGAAGCGAGCTTAACCATTTTCTATCTGAAATCATGCAAGGTGCATGGCTTCTGCTTTTTCTAATGGTAATCACGATGGCCAACAAAATGCTGCCCGACAAATTCTATGGGCGCTTTGATGTCGACAAAACGATGGATGTCAACATGGACGAGTACCTGAAAGCCAAAGGTTTGCATCCATTTTTGTTTGGATCAAAGTTAAGCAAAATAAATACATGAAAAATAACTTTTTTTTTGTCAAAAATGACCAAGCAAGAGAAAAATTTTCTAATTTTTAAAATGTTCAAAAACATTTTTGGGCTTTAGACAATCAAACATTTTGAAGCATACTATAATACATTATATATCATGAACAGGTAAGTACACTTAGAAAACCAAAGTTTCCCCCTGATAAAAATTCGGCCCCCCGCTAACAGTCCAGTACCGTAAACTTTTGCATAACTCCAGAAATCACTAGTGACCCGATAGTAGGTATTTGAATAGTGTTTCCACCCAATTTGCCTATTTATTTGAAAAGCCAATCGAATGTAGAAAAACTATGAAAAAAAAACACTTAAAAAATTTCCAAAATTCCGAATTTTGGCCGAAAAATCATATTTTTGGTATGTTATGAGACAAATTTGCGGGGTTTTTTCCGATTAGCTAGGTTAAAAGACATTGGAGCAAGGCTTGGGCGATATGCTGCGATTTTAGGCGTGAGTTGGTCGATGCGACGAATGGCTTTGACGTGCGACTCAAGCGTCCTTTTCATGGAGCATCCAACACGACCCAAGGACTTCCAATACGAGAAAACGGAGTGCAGATTTGTTTCATCGTCCCTGGTCGATTGAATTCAAAATTTCCCCAGGTGTCACATTACTCGACCGGACACCTTGAGACGATTGGCCCGGATCTTGATGGCGCCAAGGAACATGTAGCCCCGTATACAAATATGCAATTGGTAAGTTGACGCAAAATTGACCCAGGGTTGTATCGGACCATAAATGTCCAACGCCGCAGCACATGATTCCGCGGTGTTCGTGAGTAGGCTGGCGGATAGTGCGCCAGACGGCGGGGTGCAGACACACAGGGGAGGGGTGGGGCGCGGAATAGGCGGCGAAAGAGTGAGACTAGACTATAGGGCACGGGGGAAGAGAACAGGGGGCGGGCCAGAGCGCAGATTCTCCCTTCCCCTGTATGCCTGCCATCCTGTCCCCGTCAAACGAACACAACTGGTAAAGGGCGGAATGCTGCGCGCAGTAGTTTCGAAAGAAGCTCTGGCATCGAAGCCTGAGCCCGCCATAAACCTTCCGAAACAAAAAGCGCAAGAACTTTCCGGACAACCTAATAAATGGATGGTTCCCAGTGGGGTCCAGTTGAAAAGGACCGCGACGCGGTCATAAAATCTAAATCGTAAAAATCGGACATGGCTGCGGACTGGTAGACGGGGTCTTTTTGGGACGTCCTGTATTTCCGAAAAATTAGCCTTTTTCCTAAAAGCCTTGTTTTCGGTAATAATTTCTTTGAGGATAAGAATTTCCCACAAAAATGGTTTTGTTCTTGTCCTTCACGGCGAGTTCCTAGTGGTAGCGGCGGCGCTAATTTTTCGAAATTCTTAATGATGTGACGTCGTTTTCCAAAATATGATTTTTCTGAAACCTACCTTTTCGAGAAAACTTATCTTTCAAAATTTTGATGCAAGCCGCACTTCCGGACCTCCAAAAGAAACTTATTCGATTTTGAGGCGTACTTCAACCTGACCGACGGCCGTCTGTTTGTGCAAACATACAGTAGCGGTCAAAAAGATGTCCCCCCGGGAAATCCTTTGTTGCTCGTAAAACACAGGCCCAAATTTTATGAAATTTTTCCACTAGGGCAATTTTGATACGGAGAATCCGATGGTGCACTTGAAATCGGCTGAAAATTTTATTTTTGTGATCAAATTTTAATTTTTTTTTTAAAATCGGTAAATGAACTTTTTCCTGAGGGATTTTCGGGTTTCAAAAGTGTGTCCATCGTGTTCGCAAGGGTCGAAAACCTATCTCAAACATGTTTCAAAACATTTATCTCTTTGAGGTTCACTACCATGAGGCCGAGAAGTTGTCGCCGCGGGGCGCTTTCCTGGCCCCCGTAAGCCTATCCAAAGGATTTTTGCCCGCGCGACAGCAACTTTCGGCCGTCAGTATGGTCAGGCCCCGGCAGAAAAAGTGTCGTAAAATCACGGACTAGTGGTTTTCGACCCCTGCGAACACGATGGAGACATTTTTGAAACCCGAAAATCCCTCATGAAAAAGTTTATTTTTACAGATTTTTTCAAATCAAAGTTTGACCATTAAAATAAAATTTTCAATAGATTTTAATGTTGCCATCGGATTCTGCGCAGCCGAATTGACCTAGACACGACGTTTCATAAAATGTGGGCCTGTAGTTTACGAGCACCAAGCGATCTCCCGAGGGGACATCTTTTTGACCGCTACTGTATCCATTCATGGAGCCGAACGAGACTGAGGCCTACGAGTACTTCTTACAATCGGAGTTCCTTGTCCTTGTAGGTTCTCAAGGAGCCACGCCTCAAAACATCCATCTCGTGTTTGCTGCCATCGTATCAATTCTCGTTTCAAAAAATGCTCGACGCATCGTTTGAGGCCAGGCGGTACTACAGGCGTGTTCAAGTCAACGGCTAGCTATCCTCTTTAAGAAGTAATCCGATATGCTAATAAATATATTTAATTTGCAAGGATAAATGCCTCTCTCTCTCTCTCTCTCCCTCTCCCCGGAAGTTTCTATCGAAATGTCTGCCTTGGAGTCGTGCTTTCAAAAGTGTAAAATTTCACGGGAAATCCAAATAACAGATAAAAGCTCCGCGTCAAAAATTATATCCGTTGAGATACGGACGAGTCGAATTTCGTCAGTTTTTGGACGTTTTTGGCTCCTCGGATCGCATTTCAACTTAATTGTCCATCAAAATCCCTCGGGATTTCTTATAAAACCTTCACGCAGTTTTCGTATTTGTGTAAATGCAATTCACAATGAACAGAAAAGTAAAAAAGTACTTCCCGGAAATTCGAAAATTTGTGCTCAAAATCCGTGCTATTTGAAACCATGCTCCCTTAAATGTGATTGTAATGTTTAACAAGTCGTTTTTCTAAGTCTGTTTATTTTGAATATATGTAATATGATTTTGGATTTTTAAAAACGCTATAAAGCTTAACAAAATGTGTTCTTGTTTAAAACACTTTCCAGACACCTCATCAATTATTTAAACAGGAAGTTTCGGTCATCATATTTAATCCTGTCCTATAAGCGATAAAAATATGTCTGTTTTCTGTAATGGCGATTTATCGGCCCTCAGGCTGAATTCCGAGCTGATTTTTGACATGGAGGTGGGGAAATACATTGGCCAAAGCCCATTATTTTGTTTTCCGAAACTTGGACAACTTATGTATTCGATAGTGGGGATCACGCGCATCTTTTTTGCTTCGCAAATTTTCAGCAGATTCAGACTCAAAAATTGAATTTTGTAAAGTGGCCACGGCCCCCCTCCTGGGATCATTGGGTCGCCCTTTTCATTGCCTCCCTTCCCCTCCCCCGAACAGAAGAGGCCTTTCCCGCCGCCTCTTCCCATCTGGCCCGTGGTGTAGTGGATTTGCGCCCGGTCTACCACGCGCAAGGTCGTGAGTTCGGATCCTAGGAGAATTTTTTTGCTTTTTCGTGGTTCAGGAACAATTCATCTTTCTAGGCTCTCGGTGTGCGAGATTTAGGCCTAGCGCCGCAGGCGGAAGAGAAGGCCCTTGGCCCAGGATCTCGCGCCGCGCCGGTTTGATTGATCTAGGCTCTCGCGCCGCAGGCCAAATCGCGGAGAAAAAGCAGTAACTAGCGTTTCCTTCAAAGATTCTTCAAAGATTCTAGCGGATTCTAGCCGTCTTTTTCCGTTGCTTGAACTATATTGACTAAAGAGAGCGAGTGAGGGAGTGAGAGAGGGAAAACTACCATCATTTTCGAGCATCTATGCGGCACTTTTGGGACACCTTGTCTAGTTGCTTTGGTGACTGTGATGAAATCAAGATGAACCCATCAAATGTTGCTTTGATTTAGCGGATCACAACAATTTATTCAGTCGCTTTCTAAGAAATCCATAAGTTCCGGGTCAGGATCGTATCTGCCATCCATTTCAAGGTGCTCCCGGACGGCAATTAGGACCTCGTTGCAGCCGAATTTGACGAACAGACGATCGCCATCGGGACGAGTGAGTCGATAGTGGTTACAGTGGCCACCACGGGATTGGTGTTTTGGCCAGTGCTCGAGGAATTTCGGGGGCTCAATCTCTGTCCTCATCTCCAGACTGATGGAAAGAATTTCGCGTTCACTTCTCAGCCATTCTTCAATCACTACCTGAAATATACAGGGTAACAGGGGATGGGAGAATAACGGGGGGCAAACGTCTCCTTGTTAGGCTTAGCTTTCTAGAGAATTCGGATTTAAAAAACGGCATTTGGTGCGTCTTGTAGTCAAAAGCTGGACTGCCCCCCCCCTAACTGCATTAGCACCAGTTGTTATTATCAAAAAAGAACTTTGAGTACCCCCCCATAACCCTATGTGTAACCTACCTGCCCGTAAGCCTCAAAGTCCGACGCCCAGTCCTTGGTCTCCCTCAGCTGGATGGCCGGCATTTTCAGTGAAGTACACTCTGATAGCGGCATATCCAGCCTCACATCCAGACGACTAATCGATTCATTCATCCATTCCATCGTTTCGGCATCGAATCGGATATCTGCGGAAATAGTAACCAAAGCATATTTCGTGGTTGGCTTGTGACGCTTTAAAATCGTAATCCAATCGACGACATCAAAGTGCAGCTGCAACTCCTTCGCACGGACATCAATGTCAGCAGGTACAGCCTCATACAGTTCCAAATCGGTGACGGTGGAATTGTGGAAAAGTAGCTTGAAAGCCCCGAGGAATGGGTACCGATCATCATCATCACTGCGGATGTACATATTCCAATGCTTGTCCCGACATTCCTTTGCCATCTCCATTGTCGCTTTGCTTGCAAGTGCCGTCTTCAAGAAGCTATCAATATCCATATGCCGCATGATGTTGTGCTGAACGACGATCGGAAGCGCGTGGAGGTCCATGGAGATCTGAAATTTGGATCAATTATTTTTGGTGGGCCTGATAAAGAACAGAAGAATAAAAAAGAACAGTCTCGAATTTCCAGTTTCGAAATTTACAAAGTCTCGACATTCGAGATTCCGTTTGAGAGAGAGATAGATAGAGAGAGAGAGATAGAGAGAGAGAGATAGCGAAGGAGAGAGAGACAAAGCGATAGAGAGAGGGAGATAGAGAGATAGAGATAGAGATGAGAGGGATAGAGACAGAGATAGAGCGAGAGAGGGAGATAGAGAGAGACCGAGAGGGAGAAATACCAATGGAAAGAGGTAAAAATTCGCCTTAAATACAGGAATAGCCGGTAAATAGCCAAAGCCTCAGGGGTATTGTTCAGCCGGGCAAAAGTGCGGGATTACTTTTGGACTGTGTAGAGGGCGCGCCAAACCTTTTCGATGCTGCGATTAATCTGCATGCCCCACGGGCATTTTCGGGCATTTATGGGGCCATTTGGGACATCTGGTATATTTGTTTTGGTGACTGCGATGAAATCAAGATGATCTAACAAAATGTTGAATTAGCTGAATTACGTTCGTTATCTTAGTCTGGTGACAATGGAAATTTTTATTGAATCAGGGATGTGGAAATTCATGCTGTTCGCTGCCTGGAAAGATATGAATGCAATTATTCGCAACACGTTAAAAAACGGTGCCATTGGAAAGTTTGTATGGTCTGTCATTCATTTTGATCTACAATTGAATCCGTTGTCATCAATAACAAAAGCAAGGCAATAAAAAAAAGATTTTGGGCAGCTCCATTCCCACTGCTCTGAGTTATGGTGCACGTTTTAGTGTCCAAACCGATACAAAATGACGCTTTTCGGGATGAAACAAGGGATAGCGGGTGTCCGCCTTGGAGTTGAGCCCTCATAAGACCATCTATCAGATGGAGAATTTTACGGCAAATCCAAATACCGTCATAATAGGGGGTGCGGATTCGCACCTTATTTTCGACCAAGCGCCCGTCGCTATGATCAAGCCATGGGCGTCCGAAATAAGGTGCCGATTCGTTTTCGTTCGGATTCCGATCCGTTGTATAGAAGTCGTTATTTTCCGAAACACTTTCCGCATCTCTCTCTCTCTCTCTCTCTCTCTCTCTCTCTCTCTCTCTCTCTCTCTCTCTCTCTCTCTCTCTCTCTCTCCCCTCTAACTCCCTCTCTCTCTCTCTCTCTCTCCCTCCCGCTTTTGTTTCTTCCTTCCGCGGGCATAACCTGTTTTCTAATCCATCACCCGTGGGTTTTTCGAGAATTTATGCTATAACAGGGTAGGTTTTTGCCCCTCGGCAATATCAAGATCTCAAGATCAACATCTAACATCTAACATCTATCGTCAAAGACAACAGGGTTCCCACTACTCATCAGATGGTATCATCATGCCATCGCGGCACTATTTTATGCCCTTTCTTGACATATCATGCCCCACCCACTGTCGTGTGTCATAAATAGCCGGTGGGTATGCTCGAACGGCCGTCACTCCGCGAATTCCTTTCCTTTCTGTTTTTTCACTTCTCCCTTGCGGAGGCTGACTGGATTACAGTAACCGGTCCCTTCGCATTAGAAACTTTTGCCTACGCTTTAATTTTACAAATATAAATGGCGCAACTATTTTAAGTGGTTTTTTCTATTCCTAAAAGTAAAAACTTTTCAAATTTTTTTTACAAATATCAAAATATGATGATCAAGCCATGGGCGTCCGAAATAAGGTGCAGATTCGTTTTCCTTCGGATTCGGATTCGCTGTATAGAAGTCGTTATTTTCCGAAACACTTTCCGCATCTCTCACTCTCTCGCTCTTCCTCTCTCGCTCTCTCTCTCTCTACTAAGAGTTTTAAGTACACTCCAAAATAATGTAAAACAAAATAGTTATGGCAAAAACAAGCAAAATTCGAATAGCCGCTTAAACATTATTTTAAGTGTATACTTTTAATATTTATTTTTTTCGGAATTCCGGGCCAGGGGATAGTAACTGGGACCTAGGGCTACCGATTGGCGACCATGGAAAAATTTTGGGACCTGGCTGGGGGGGAGGGGGTAAAGTAAACGCTCGGCGGTTTTGGCTTGAATATTCTCTTCTTAAATTTCACAGATTTTCGGGAACAGTTTGAATACTGCGAAGTACAGTATCTCGAGGGGGAAGTCGAGATAGAAAGATTCTAGCTGTAAGACACGCGACAAAATCCCAGATTGTAAAGTTTTATTAAAAAGCGTGGTTATTTTTATAGCAATGTTTTTGATTTGCTTCTGGTTTCCTAGCAATTGATCATTTCTGAGATTTTTAAAATTTCTTATCAGAAAATGGCCTTTTCAGGGTCTGATTCCGGCAGCGCGGGGTGGTTTCTCTTCAATTAAAGATGGCGCCTACCTCGGATGGCGTAAGATTGTGCTATATATTTTCTAGGAACAGTGAAAAGTTTCTGCACAACTGATTACATTAATTGCCGGTAATGCGCAGTACAATGACATCGAGCTCAAAGCAATAACGACCTCAATTCTTCCGGGGGTCACGGCTAGGAAACTT